ATGTAATGGAGGAGGCTATTCGTGATGCTCTTGTAATAAGTAGGGCAGCTGTTTAAAAGTCGGAAAGACCTCTGCTGGTGACATACCATTAATTTATGATGGCGTGCCAATGACATGTCATTAAAATTTGGCTTGCGCCAACAACTCCAGTTTTAAAGTTCCGCAGCAGTAATAATTATAGGAAATACAATAACAATTATTTTCATGACTGCAGATAACGATAATGAGTTTAATCTTGGCAGATATTCAAACACTAATGATTATGATATTTAATTTTTTTTTAAAAAAAAAAGTTTTGAAAGCGAGGCCATACCCTCTATACTTTTATTAATATCTGATACATTTTTTACAACTAAGCAACTATGGGACAGGGGTTCAGCCTACTTTATCTAATTGTGATATTTAATGTACTCATTAAAAATGGAATAATTAATAAAGTGCTTTGTTATTGTCGTTGTTTAACAAAAAATCAGTTGATACTAGAACAGGTCATGATTTACCAGTTTTGGATTGGTGTGCAGTTAATCGTAATTGCGAAGTCAAAAATAAAGAAACCACCAAAATATGAAAAACGGTAGTCCAAACCTGTCTTGGAGCATAAATAAAAAATGTCTGGAAAGCAATTCTGCTCTAGTCCTAACCCCTAACTATAATACTAAACTAGCCCTAACTCTAATTTTAATTAAACCTTCGAAAAATCACATGGGCGCATGGCTTTAGCCATCCCCTAAAAATGGAAATTGATTATAGATTCCATACATTTTGTGGCTTGCAGCATCAAAAAACCTTATAGAACGTTCATGGTTCATATTGATCCCATCAGTGAACCAAAGTGTATAGGACCCGAAAAAGATTATGTTTTACTATTCGAAATTTACAATTTGATTAGCTTATTAGCATATAACTCGCTTCCGATTTGTGTAATCGAACTATCCGATCTGTATTTCTATATCATAAAGGGTGGCGGTCTACAATAGAGTTTGCGAAGCAACAAACAATGTTTTGAGGAAACACATTGAAATTCCGAACTTAACCAATCAAATTTTATATGGTCATTGTCATTAACGGAGTTGGCACGGGCAATCGGATCACTTGTCCGTAAAAAAAATCATAAAAGCATTGAACATTTGCTGCTGCTACTTAAATTGTAAAAAATATTCTTAATATTGGTTAAATTGTAAAAAATGTCTCAAGATAATTCTACAAATTCCAATAACCGTTTCTCAGCACTTTTCACATCTTCATTTCTGCAACCACACCAATACAATGGAACACCACCACCACCATATCAGTCTGTGTCTCCATCCTCTCCAATGCCCCGTTACAGTGGCGACACCAATGAACCTGGAGACGACGACAGAATTATCATTGATGAGAATCAAAGCATTAATGAACACGAATTATTGTCTGATAGTGAGCCAGCTATTAGCGTAAGCCTCACCTCAACATATAAAATGGTACCTAATACGGGGTCTCAAGAGCTATTATGTATGGCTTCACTTGTAACGAGTGATTATGTTCCAGACAATGCAAAAGATACCAGTTCGCATGCCGATATTGTTCTGGTGTTAGATGTTAGTTCTTCGATGTCTGGGGATAAAATTAATCTTCTTAAAGAAAGTTTAAGTTTTATCGTCAGTGAGCTTTCACCAAAAGATCGTTTGTGTTTGGTAACTTTTAATACTTATGCAAAACGTATCACTCCATTATTATTGGTTAATGAAGATAATAAAAGTAAATTTTATCAAGCTATTCGAGATTTGAGAGCTAATGGTGGTACTAATATTGGAAATGGTCTTAAGCTAGGTGTGTTAAATTGTCTAAAGTTTCAATATTTTTGCAATATTCGTTTATTGTATTTAACTTTATTATTTTGAAATTTAGGTTTGGATGTCTTAACTCAAAGGACAACAAAGAATCCTATTACAGGGATGATTTTACTT